TGTTCAGCGACTTTACCGCTCGGCCGCTGGTGGGCCCCAAGTGATAGTGAGCCTACGTTTTTGGCGTATACCACCAAGCATTACTTCATTTACCCACTTTGGACGGTGTCGTTGCAAATGCGGTCAAGAAGGAGAGAACGAGTCTTTTGTAATTTATGACCTTGACCGCATATGATATGATCAGCATTCCTTTGGAAGCCACTGCTGAAAGACGACACCCCTCTAAAATATGATGGCATTCTAACAATAGCATTCTCTGGCCGGCATTACACGAATCACGTATTTTTCTATCAAGGGGAAGAGTTATTTAACTTTTCGAATATGGCTAAGGTTTATTTTACTTTCAATACTAACAGTTTCGGTTTCAAATTTAGGCCATTTTTCTTATTTTTCGCCCTCTTTTTTCCAGGAGGTTATATCCAGGAGGCAAATACGTAAATGAAGAAGGAAATCTCTGCTGGAAAGAAAAGACAATTTCACGTCATTTCTGACTTTCAGACACTTTTAGCTCAATCTTCATGTTACAACTATGTGTGTTTCTTGTGTAACATGAGCCGATGGTTGATATATTTTAAACTAATAACACATTCTAAATAGTACCTGATTTACTTATGTTCTAGAAAATACTTTTCACTTTCATAATTGATCGTTTATGATTGTAAGTATAAATAAGAGTATATGAAACTCGAACATACATATGATAATCAGTAAATGGTTAAAAATAAAATTTCTGATGTCATATAGAGCTTGAATTGTGATGAAACGTGAAAGAGAATAACGAAAAACAGAAATATGAATGAAGATAAGCAGCATAAAAGAGGAAGAAAGAACAGGAGCCATTGTCTTTCCAGAACTTCTGCGGGCTTTTTTTTTTTCTTTCCTTTTTTTTATGTGTTGCTTAGAACTTATGTAAATTTTCAAATTTCTCAATTTGTTCTGTTTTTATCGAAGTGTGTCGTAATAATTAAAAAAGAGATTAAAAATGTGAAGAACGGCAAAAGCAATTTAGCGAAAAGTTTTTTAATTATTTGTAGACTTCGCACCACAACCAATTCTTAGTGATCCCATTAATTTTGTGATTGTCTATTCGAATAAATAAAAACAGCTATGATGATAGTTGTACAAGGTTACGTCTGCTAAAATATCGAAGAAAAAACTATAGAATATTTAAGAACATTGGCTGGAACAATTTTTCTGACGCCATTTCTTGTAGATGAATCTGTCCTTGCCGCTGGGAAAAGTGAGATAATTACAAATGTCAACATACTTATTTGTGAGAATCAGACGATGAAATAAAATCTTTTGACGTCAGATTAACCTTCGCATTTGCATCCAAAATTTTTCTTGCTTTCCAAACCCATATTTTGATTCCTCACAGGAGGAACTATTTTTTCTGAATTCAGTATAAATTTTTATGCTGTCAGACAAATCTGGTTTAAGCTACCATTCAAGATAATTTAAGGAATTACCGCATTTTTCGAACAAGACGTAAAATCTGAAATTATGACTGAACTCTTTGTCCCAATTAAAATGAATGAAGAAGGAGGGTGTGGTTAGGTATATGCATTTCATTTCAACGAGAAATGTTTCTGTTTACACAGATGTATTCCTATAAGTTTCATGTACTCGTTTGGATTGGTTTATTGAGATTATGGCAAAGTACACCAGGGCTATCTGCCTAAGGAGAGGGATGCCTTCGTGGAGGACTTTCTAAGGGAAACTATTTCGTATACACGTTACACGTGGAGAAACACGAAAACGCCATGCAGCCAGCCCGTTTGCGGGATTCGAACCTCGGACTGAACTACACTGACTACCAATAAGTATTTGGACACCTATGCAAATGACGATATCTGCGGTCCTAAGGTACGTCACGGACTCCGCCAATATATATCGTGTAGGAAACAGCATCGGCTTTAGTCGCATGCAAGATACCTCGCAGTTCGGAGCTCTCTGATTTCGAGAAAGGTATAATTATCGGGTATCACAAATGTGGCCTATCCTTAAGAGACATATCTAGCGATCTGATGATCATACACATTGGACGCTTACGAAGTGGTATCATAGTACGTGCATTACTATTTTATATATTTTATTTAGTAGGATATTGTACTGTTTCATTGTCTTTTTTTTTTTAATTTTCCTCCTCAATTGTTTTAGATTTCATTTATTTTTTACCTTTATTAAGAGCCGATCTATCCAGAAAATTTTACTATTACGACTTAATGAGAATAATAACGGCTTGACCATTTTAACTTTTTGATGATCATTCAAGAACTCAACTCGCATCACAGTTATACACCCGCCGTGGGCGCAAACAAAGTCAGTTCGCATTATCGAAGTCAGTTAGATTTATGACTAACAGATATCGCGCGTATTTGGAAAGAAAGACTTGTTTAATCTCGCAACTCTGAAATGTTAAATTAGTTTTCATAATTTTGTTTCACTTTACCATGTTTCCATTTCATAAAAGACAGCTACCCATTCGATAATCAGAATTTCTTTATACAGAACGGAGTTAGCTTCTCATTTACACATTTATTGTTAACGCCAAAACGTTAAATTGTCTAGGAAGGAATTTTTGGTAAGGAACTTTGGAAGTGATCTGGCCTTTTATATATATATCGCATATAGTAAAAGCCTTGCGTCTAGACTATTCCTTTGCGGCTAGACTATTCCGCCACAGATATGCGAACTCTAAAAGAAGCTGCCATTGTTTTGCTACATTATCTGTCCGGTCATCGGTCAGCCGTATTTCTGAAAACTCAAAATATGATCTAATCTGTAGCGTTTTGAAACAATATTAGCTGGTATTACAAAGGCATCGCTTTGGTCATAAACATCACTAAGCGTACTTTTGCAGGGGTTTGGAGGATAGGAGTGTGTTTATTAAGTAAACTATAAGAACGCTGCTTTTAAGAGAAATTATAGGATCACTCAGGAATTGCATGAATTACACAACTACTGCAAATGGAGAACGGTTACCCATTGCGTGATGTTCGCTAGCACGAGGGTTTGTAACTAAGCGTCTACTTCTGCAATTTTCGTTAACATCTTTACCATCAACAGAGACTGGGCATTGGTGTACAGAACGAAGACACTGGCACTGTGAATGAGGGCAAGTCTTTTTCAGTTTTCGTAAAGTTTATGAACTCGTGATGGCCAAACTTCCTTTCGCCATGTACACTGACTACCAATAAGTATTTGGACACCTAAGCAAATGACGATATCTGCAATCGTAAGGTACGTCACGGGCTCTGCCGGTGTATATCGTGTAGGAAACAGCATCAGCTTTAGTCGCATGCAACATGCCTCGCAGTTCGGAGCTCTCTGATTTCGAGAAAGGTATAATTATCGGGTATCACATGTGTAAATGAGAAGAAGTCTAAATGTGGCCGATCCTTAAGGGACATATCTAGCGATCTGAAGCACCCAAAATCGACAGTGGCCTATGTGATTAAGAAGTGGAAGGTGAGCGGTGATTGTCGGAATGTGCCCCGAGTCGGCAGACAAACGAAACTGGGGGATAGAGACCGACGAGTGCTGTCCAGAGAAATTCGGAAGAACCGCACCCAACCGATGGCCCTCATGCGCGAGGAGTTTCAGCAGGCATCCGGGAGTATTGTTTCCATGAATACCATTCGTAAGGAAGCACATCTGCTTGGTTTTCATGGTCGTGCTGCTGCCCATAAGCCTTTGATCACAAAGTCCAACCGCCTGCTCGGTTAATGTGGTGCAAAGCACATCGAAATTGGACCGTAGATCAGTGGAAACGAGTTCTTTGGAGTGATGAATCAAGGTTCACCCTTTACCGTTCGGATGGCAGGGTCTGGGTCTGGCGTCTACCTGGAGAACATCTCCTGCCAGAATGCATTGTGCCAACAGTCAAGTTCGGCGGAGGTGGAATTATGGTCTGGGGGTGTTTCTCCTGATATGGGCTGGGACCCTTGGTCCCCATTCATGGTAAGCTCAACTCCGATGCCTACTGCACTATTTTGGATGACAATGTGCTTCCTACGTTGTGGCAGTTTTACGGGTTGGACCCCTGTTACTTTCAGGACGACAATGCCAGTTGTCACGTTTCGGCGTTAACCAAGGCTTGATATGGTGCCAATGGAGTTCATCGAATGGACCTTGATATGGTGCCAGTGGAGTCCAGACCTGAACCCTATCGATATCCTCTGGGATGAGTTGCATCGCCGAATTCAGGGGTGCACTACCCCGTGCAAAATCGGTGAAGGAACTTCTATGTCTTCTCCAAGCCGAGTGGAAGAAAATATCACTAGCTGTCATACAAAGACTTGTGGAAAGTATGCCCTGGAGGCGTCCACGCTGTAATTACCTCTCGTGGAGGCTCTACCAACTATTGATTTTTGAATAAAGTTAGTTTTTCTTTTCTATCACAGGTGTCCAAATACTTGTTGGTAGTCAGTGTACCAGTGTTCAGCGACTTTACTGCTCGGCCGTTGGTGGGCTCATGTACTCGTATATTGATATTACATTTTGCTATTTTAATAGTGAGTTACATATAGTATATTTTCCATTGCACTTTGTGATAGGTATGCAAAATATAAATATTTGTCATACTTTACTATTTTAAACATTTGTGTAATTTTAGCTTAATATGCAAAATTTTATTGAATATCAAAAATTCCTGTATTTTCCGAGATGCATTATCGATTCGACAGCTTTATTTATCTAATATTAAAATTCGAATAGAATTTTCTCTTGTTTAAACAAATTCTTATAAATTATTTAAATATTTCCAACTAGAACTACTTTGAACTATTTAGAATTTTTACATATCATATGCACTAAATTATATTTACGGTAATGTTGAATTACTTATTATGAAAAAAAAAAATTACTTGTAGATGAATTCTCTACAATGGTTTAAATTTGAAAAATGAATATTTACATACATAATGCAAGGCAAATTATTCAAAACATCATTTACGTTTGTTTAATTGAAAACACCAAAGTATGCGAGGTTTGTTTACCTTAGTGGAAGGATACTTTCGATGAGAACACTCTAAAGCAGCGGTTTTCAGCCTTTTGACTAACGTGTACCATCTAAACAAAAATTGAAAATCTTTAGTATCACCATTACAAAGTACTACTATCACCACCACTCTTGAACAAAGCTTCAGATCGCATAAATTTACGAGTGTTAGAGAAAAAACTCAATCAGTATGTTGGGGTTTTAATTTTTGAATTTAATAGTTAAAAATACTTTGCTTCTTTACGTACCACTTATTTTTTCCTTGCGTATCCCCAGTGGTACGCGTACCACCGGTTGAGAACCCCTGCTCTAAAGGAAAATAACTTATATTCGCATTGCGTAGTGAAAATCTCGGAAGCTTTCATACATCAGCCTATTTACTAGGATTTGAATCCACTTCGAACTACCATTGCCTTCTTAACCCATTAACTGCCAATTTTTTTCTCTCAATTTACATTTATTTCTGGCTGTCTAGACATTTATTTCTGGATGTCTAGAGATGACATAGAGACTGGAAACTGGAATATAAATGGAATATAGATGGAATTTGCCATGAGCCCGAAATGAGGATCGACATTCAAGTAGCCCTCACCGGAAAATAAAATGCACACTGACAATATGCAAGGATTATGTTAATTTTATTAACAGTTAAATTTTTGAGTTAAAACTTCTTTCCTGTCAAATTCTTAACTTCTACTTACTACTTCCGGTCGAGGACGTAGTTTTGGAATTACGTCTGAACACATAATGAGGAGGAGCGGTATTTAATCGCGAAGTTCTACTGAGTTAGCCGAGAGCGTTACCAGAATTTCTGATCTAGCGCGCGTCCGCCTTGTTGGCTACTCTCTCTCGTCATAAGCTGTTATTACGCTAGGCCGTACTTAGGCCCTTGATAGCTTCGCAGTCAATTAGCGTTAAGGGGCCAATTCGGTTAGAATCTTGATAGCTTCGGCTATATCTTTTTAGTTTAGATTAGTTTTAGTTTACTTCTTAGCCTCTTAAGTTCAAGCCCAAGTGTCGGCTTTTATTGTACACTCCAAGACACAGTTCTGTTAAATCTTATATGAATAATAAAGGGTTATTTACCCTTAAATCTTGTTGTTTCTTGTCACACGAACTCAAGCGATTATTCGCTTGTCAGTTCTTAAGATTCTTCATGTTCAACAGTAACTTAGCATTTACAAAGTGGGGAATTCTACAAATAAATAGTTTGTAAATATATTCTAAAACCATTAGAGAACACAGCAGTACACAGGAGTTGTAAATGATGTACATAATAATATGACAAATGTTGAAATTTTGAAACTTACACAAAAATTTTACTTCTTCTCGCAAATGATAATCTCTAGCTCACTCATTTAACAACTACTACTCAACAACTCATGCAAAAGCTTAAAAAAGATTTAAACAACAATTCAAAAAGTAACCATTGTTGCCAACCTAATTCAAGTTACCAAATTTCCTTTACTAAGACAAATCCTCAAATGGGGATCATGGCTAACCGCTGGCAGGCATGCCTTTTAATTGAGATCCTGTGTTTGTACAGGTTTAATTTAAAGTTCTTTTGAAGCAGTTAATTACAAATCAAAATTTAATTAGTGTTTATTAAAAATAAAAATCGGTGAATTTATGCAAAAATAAAAAAAGAAATGATTATTTATTGCATTTGATTTTTTGATTTAAATGTGAAAGTTTGAAATAATTGCATTTTAAACTTTTTTTAAAAAATTACAATCACTGAAACCTATATGAGGTGAATATAAGAATAAAAAAAGTTTGGTAATTATTTATGAGACAAAGTATTATTTTTCGGAAAATTTACAAATAACCAGTTGTTTTATAAATAAGTAAATAAAAGCTTTGGGGTTAGAAAATTTAACACATCAAAATCTTTTTGCTGAATAAGTTCTCATCTCTATAATGTTTGAAATATTTTTTATTCTAATATGGCGAACATCAATTTTTTGCTATAATAATTCTTTAAAAGGCGTATAATAAACCTCTTTCGTGAATAATCAGTATTATTTGTATTTAAAATAATCTATTTTCTGTCTATAATCTTCCAATATTTTCGCTAATGTCCTTCGTATTTCATTATTTTTGATAAGAATAGAGCTTTGCATGTTCTTTATTAACACATTTGGTCTATATTTAATTTAATAAGTATATGCTACTAATTTTTGCAGATTCTGGAAGTGCAGTTCTAAAAATAATTGTATATAAATGTTTCCCATGAATAGCACATTTCCAATTGACTCTAAAATTCCATGGAATCGTATTTATTTTATTCCTGTATAAGCGTTTAGAGATAATTACTAATATTATTAGATTTCTTGACGTAATGTATAAAATGGGTTACGAAAGGAAAGATTTAAAGAAGAATATTATTTGTCAATTGTGCATTTCGTAGTAGTCAATGTAGTAGTTTCAGCAGTTCGTAGTCAATGTAGCAGTTCGTCTCATGATCCAGCATTCCTCAATCAAAAAAAGAAAAAGAACAGAAAAGAAAAAAGAAAAGAAAAAGAAAGCATTAGAACTAGCTTTCCTCCCTCCCCTAAAAAGAAAAAAAAGGAAAAGAAAACTAAAATTTCAGCGTTTTGGATTTACAGGTTGCTTCGAAGTTATTTTTATGCTAAACGTCCAGTAAACAATTATATCCAAAGATCTTGCTTGCTGTGGAATCGAATTCGGGGTAATCCCACCTAAATTGACGCAGACGGCGACTACTCTAATCCAGTATTTCTCAACCGCCGTTCTGCAAATACTATTCGCCGGTCCTTCCAAATTCAGATGTATTACAACAATATACCTACTGTCGTTGTTTACACACACACACACACAACACAAAAAAAAAAAAAAAAAAATTAAAAATCCGGTAATTGTGTACGTTATCATGAATACTGCGTAACGCATTAGCTTAAGCTTTCTCAGCGTATCTGTTTAATTTACGTTCATAGGAGATTTATCGTGGCGCCACGAAAGTACATTTGCATGTAGCGAAGTACTCCTATTAAACGATAAATATTAGTTTGCAGTTGAGAAACACTTATTATTCTTCGAAGTCCGTTGAATAATGGCAACTGTATTACTACCAGTTCGCGATGAAACACTGAAATGTTTTACTGGTTCTTCGAGTAAATCGGGTTGAGAAACACTGCTCTAATCCACTGTTAAAAAAAAACCATCTATCAAAACACCTTGCATCCATTCAATAATTAGGAGGCATTTTAAAGATTCTGCTTTGACTGTGAAGTCTCCAATTAACGAAAAAGGTATAAAATCCATTTTTTTAATTTGTATTTATTCTAGGAATTTAGTTGTCTTTATATATATAACATTAAACAGAACTGACCGATCTCATCTTTAAATGTAAATGACATTTTTATTTTGATGTAACTGCAACGATTATGTTTTTGTGGGAAACTGAAAGCGAACCTCTGAGTTATGACTGTAAATGGCAATTTAGCAGGGGCATAACTAGAGGGGGGACAAAGGGAGCATCTGTCTTTCGGCGCAGCATCCAGGGGGCGCCAAACTGATATTACGAAATGTTAGAATTAAATGTTTTCCATTTTTGGCAAATATGAGGGGGCGCATAAGCTTCAGTTGTCCCCAGGCGCTGAAAACCCTACCTATAATTCTGCAATTCTGCTAAAGAAGCCATTCAGCAATCCCCCTTTTAATTCCTTTATTTTTCTTCATTTATCGTTACCCCAATTTTTCCCATAGAACTACGTGTACTCTTTAGTTGCTTAAAATGTTGATTATGCCTTCGTAAGTTCTACTTACGAAAGCTTCGTAAGTTCTGAGGATTAGAGGTTCTTAATGTCAAAAAAATGTTGCGAAATAAATTTAAATACCGCCTGTATAAATTCGTTGGTTTAGTTATGACTATGAGATGGATTAAATTATAATGAAATGGATTCGAATGAAAGATAAACTTCGGGTCTTTGCCAAGTAGTTTATAATATAACTGAAAAATACTATCCGTTACGAAGGGGCTCTGTCTTTCATGAATTTACTCCTGATTTCAGACAGTTAGTGGGATTTTAAAACCGTAAATTGTAGGTAAATCGAACATAATTAAATAGACGTAAATTTCTAAAATGGGGATGAACTTTTCAAAAACATAGGAAATTATGAATACTGGAAAATGATATATGCTGCTAAATTCTGGAACTATTCCTCTGTGGTCTTGATTAATAAAATCTGATACAAGAAACCTCCTGCTTTAAGAAAATTGGAATGAAATATCTAGAAAAATTATTGAAAGTAACAGTTTAAAAGGATCTACAATAAACATGTTTTGAATCAAGATGTAAGATGATGTACACTGATGTAAAAGCACAGTTAGTCAACATATCTTGGTACTTTATAAGTGCATTTATACTGGGGTCTAATTGTCAAGGTTGCAATTCTTCAGACCAAATTTTTTTTTAAAATTTCCCTCTGTTAGGTTTCCCAGAAACAAAGACTGATAAAAAGTAAATAAATTGTGTAATGTATAGATAAAGTAGATTCTTATCACAAGTTTACCTATTATATTCAGATAACAAAAATATACAATAGAACACTGCGTGCCTCCTTATATTCCCTGTGATAATGTGAAGGTGATTAATGGCTGCGAAGAAATGTAGAAAATTAGGATATTCTTTCTCATAAAATACATTTTTAACGATGTCTTAAGCTGCTAATATAAAATAGGAAACTCATTTCTTTCTGTCGGATTCAAGTACAGTTTTTATTTGATGAGTTCAGTCCTTAAATTCATTGGAAACAAACGGCGTACGTTTGATGTAAATGCTTACAATAAATAAAGCTGCCAAAACTTCTTTTCAATATTTAGCTTAAAGAATACATATAAACCTCCTGTTCTTCGAAATAAAATTGTTTTTACCTCTTTTTAAATTTTTAAATCCTTTAAAGGTCTCTTCATCAAATGGTAAACTTTACAACCCGAAACCATGCCATAAATATTTCATTTCTTGAGGAAAAAGCAGTCCGTCGTGTACTAAGGAGTGTCTCTGTCTCCCGTTTCTTCTCTGTGCTTTTTGGTTTAGCTGCTCCAG